CCAAGAAATTATTCAAATTGCAGGTTGTTTTTGAGGGTTTTTGGGCAATTGCAAGTTGTTGTGAGGGATTTTTGGGCAATTGAGTTCAGTGAATCGAGCTGGGTTTGATGGAACCTATTTGCTGGGTTACATGGAACCCAGATCTGCTGGGTTCTGTCGAACATGGAAGGAAGAAAAACAGTAATTGATGGGCAAAGATGGTGATGTGGGATCCATTTGAATGGATTTTGCTTGATTTTGCCAAGTAGCATGTGACATGGCAGACATATCATCACTTTTTTAAGTTTTGCTCTCCATATCATCAAAAAAAATATAAAAAATGCCACTTAAGCTGGGTTAACGGCCCAAATTAACAGAAGGACTAATGGAGTGCATTTTGTATAGTTGAGGGATCAAAAAAGTGCAAAAAATTGTTAAAGGACCAAAAATGTTCATTTCATAAAGTTAAGAGACCAAATTAAGCATTTAACCTTTTGAGAACTCTATGAGAGTTTCTTTTAGAATTATTTTAAGATAATAAAAAATAAAAAAATTTAATTTCTTTAAATTAGATTTTTTTAAAAATTATTTTTATTTATTATTTAATATTCTTATATTTATAACTATAATTTTAAATTTTAATATTTTTATTATGAATTAATTTAGCTAACTAAAGTTATGCTATAGTCTAATCACTTTAATATAAATTTTTATGGCTTTTATACGTTTGAAATTGTTATTTTATATTGAATATATATATTGTTCTCAATGCTTTTAATACTTGATTATTATTAAAATTGATATGGAAAGCATAATTGAAATGTAGAAGAGATTTTATATAATAACTTCTAATAATATATATTAAGAATTAAAGGAAAGTTAGAAATAGATCAACGTAATTTGTGCAGTATTAATAATAAATAAACTTGAGAGTTTTTATATAAATTAGAAAATATTATAGAATATAATATATGTTTATCTATTTAAATTTATATAGAGATATACACCACTAGAAAACAGCATATAATCGACAAAAATATAATCGATAATAAAAAAATTGTCGATTTTACTTATATTATCGACAAAAACTCTGTTGATTATGATAAAGTATCGATTATATAGGTATAATCGACAGTCATCATGGCTGTCAAATATACTTTCTATAATTGACAGTTATTTTTGT